AAACCCATGGTTTAGAGATTATCTAAATGAGAAAGACATTTAAGAAGTCCTTTATAACAATAATAGTTTTAGAATGGATATCTGCTTAAGGCCTGGAAGACTCATTTTAAATTTGTATATATTTTTCAACTTAATGAATTTTGAAAAGAGGGTTAAATTTTATTCTTATAACTTTGTGTTAAGGGTTACTAGGAGTGCTTCGTTTGAGGTTGAGAGATTCAACTTTGATTTTGGAAGAATATTTCTCTTCAATATATGCTAATCATCAGTATCAGGATTCGAATTCTCATTCTCATTGAGTTTTCAACTATGAAGCAACACCATAATCAGCTATGAAGGGAATGGATTGATTCGCAAGAGAAAGGCTTTCTTTAAGGGTTGATCTTCTCATTCTAAACCTCATCTTGGAAGGTTTTATCGAAAGCTTGGACAGTTCTAGCAAGAACCCTGATCTATTTCCTCTAAACCCCATCTTAGAAATCCTGAAACTACAAGTTCTATAGAAAGCCTAGATAGTTCTAGCCCCTACACAGTTCTAGCAAGATATTGTCAGACAAGCCTGAACGATTCATCATTATGGTTTTTAATGTTCTTTTTTTTTTCTTCTATTGAAAGAAAAGTTTTGGCAGATTATTTACTTAGCAGGAGATAAGGAAGAGGAGTGTTGCAAATTTAAAAGGAGTAATTTCACTTTGAGAAGGATGATTATTTTCTTTAATATGGAAATTAACATAAATTTGCACATATAAAATAAAATGACACGTTATAAAATTATCAATTGTACTGTTAATTTATATTAATCAACAGTTAGTGAGAAGAGTTAATTTGAACGTAATAAAATAATAAGAGTTTAATTAATTTTTTTTTATAGTTCAGGAACTTATTTGAGTATTTAGTTAAATAATTTTTGTAGAAGGGATAATTTTATTTCATCATGAAATATCAAAATATTACAATATGAGAAAACAATTTAGCTGACCAAGACCTCTCACATTGTAAAGGACCTATGGCTTGAGTATGAGCCTCGTTAAAAACCTGGGAAAACCCGGTGAGACAAAATCCATAAAAAGGAAAAAAGAGTACCCATTAAGCATGCCAAACTAATGTCGATAATATTTTCCTATGTTGTCAATATCACTTCCAATTGCAGCTTGAATTAACACATGAATAGTGGATATTTCCCTCCAGACAATTTGATCCACACCTAGCTTTTGAACTGCCTTTGCAATCTCGTGAGCCACCAAATTAGCCATCCTCCTGCAATGCTTGATCATTGAACAATTTATCTAGCTTAATACTGAGCAACAGTCTTTAATAATGTGCCCCATCTCACCACTAAACTGTTTACCCTTAATCCAATCAACTTCTTGCACACAATCAAGCTCAATCTCCGAAACCTGTACATGTTCCAGCTGACATATCACCAGAGCCCAAAACGAGCTTTAAGCTCGGATACAGCTGCACTAGAGTAATGTGTTATCTTCGACCCTTTTCTAAGCAAGAATTCCCCATTATGACCTCTCACAATGAACCTTGCCCCTACTTGTTTACCTCCATTTTCAACAAAAGTGGAGGCATCACAATTAATTTTGATGTGGATTTGAGGTCGCCATTTAATCTCATTAGATACATTAGGTGGTGAAACCCGATTTGAGACAGCTACAGTAGACCTATGCTGTCGACACGCATCATAACCCAATTCCACACATTCATTCAGTTCCTTCCTCTCCTGCTTAAAAACTGTTCCACTTCTTCCTTTGCAAAGACCTTTAAGAAACACAGATAATCTGCTTTACAGCGTCCTTGTTTAACCATTCCCCTGTCGAAGATAATTGCTGCGGAATGTCTCTAAAGCCCCATTTTGAATATAGCCAAGCAGCTCCAGCAAACGAAACATTGCAGAAAATATGAAAATCAGTTTCTAAATTCACTCCACAAAATGGACAATTAGGCTCAATATTAATTCTTCTTCGGATCAAAGCCTCTCTAGTAGGAAGATAGCCAATCAACACCTTCCACATAAATAAAATTATTTTTCTAGGTAATTTGAGTAACCACAATTTTCTCCACATCAAAACATCGTTATTAGATGAACTTGACGCATGAGTATCTTCTACCCCATAGCAAAGTTATCGATATCCCAAACGTACCTTATATTCACCATCGCTACTATTATTCCATACCAATCGATCCACTGGCCTTCTTTCTTAAAGGCAATGACAGATAAGATCCATTTCATATGGAGGAAAGCATTCACTTATTTTCACCTCACCACATAACATTTGGTCATCCAAAATAAACTCACATACCTTTGTTGAGTCTGTCACTATATCACTACATGAACAACTAACGTAAGGATCTTATTGTTCCTTTTAACCAAAATCGTCCTCCAATCACCAACTCTCCAATAGGATCTTTGGTAAATAATTTAATTGGCCTGCTAAGTGCCAATATAGATAATTAAATATTAAATTTAATTAATTTCAAACCTTTCAAGTCCAAAAAACTCATCTATGATCCACTACCAATTAAAGTCCAACAACAATGAACCTATATTCCAGTCCCACATTCATTATTATTGTACATATCCGACACCAACAGCACCTCAATTGGAAATATCTTATCCAGACTCGTTCAGAACAAGCTGGTTTTCAGCTTTCTTTGTCAATCGTTATTTGAGCAACGCAAGAGAATTAATGATAAGCCCACCTACAATTTCTGCATTTAATAGAAAATTGTCTGTAGACCTACCATTTTCTAGGAGCATCTGTTTCATCATTTCTGCTTGGTCTCGGTAATATCCTAAATTTTCCAAAACATTCATTCATATTTGAAGAAAGAAGTGCAACATGAGACAATCAATGGGCACGATTTCATTCTTTCTTGTATATTTATTTGTTTTCTCCATCTTAAGGACTGCTACTGCAGTAGTACTCTCTCTCCAAGTCAATCCATTAAAGATGGTGAAACTCTAGTTTCAGCTGATGGAAGCTTTGAACTGGGATTTTTCAGCCCTACAGTAAGTTCCACAAGTCGATTTTTGGGAATATGGTACAAGAAAATATCTAATGGAACGGTTGATGGGTGGCAAATAGAGAAACTCCAATTTCTGATAATAAAGGGGTCTTACTTTTCTCCAACCATGGAATTCTCTCGCTCCTGAATAGCACAAATAGTACTGTTTGGTCATCTAATACATCAAAAGCTGCACAAGAACCCCTTGCTCATCTTCTCAACTCAGGAAATCTTATAGTAAAAGATGGAAATGACAACAACCCAGCTGAAGACAACCTATGGCAGAGTTTTGATTATCCTTGTGATACTTTTCTTCCAGGAATGAAAATCGGAAAGAACTTAGTGACAGGTTTTGAGTGGTTTCTGTCATCCTGGAAAAGTACAGATGATCCTGCTCCAGGCCAATACGTTGTACGTATAAATATCAGTGGATATCCACAACTAGTAATTGAGAAGGGATCTAAAATAGAGTACAGAGCAGGATCATGGAATGGTCTTCGTTTTACAGGGATGAGACCGAATGTAATATTTTACAAACATGAATTTAAGTTGAATGAGAATGAAGCCTATTACACCACTGAGCCAAATAGTTCAGTAGTTATTAGGTACATGTTGAGCGCACTAGGCTTTGCCCAGTTCCTTTTCTGGAGTGATCAACAACGTGATTGGAAATATTTATCAACGTCATATCTTGATCAGTGTGCGAACTATGCCCTTTGTGGAACATATGCCACCTGCAATGGAAATGACTCTCCAGATGTGTGTTCATGCTTGGAAGGATTCACGCCCAAATTTGTAGGAAAGTGGAATTCAAGAGTTTGGTATGATGGGTGTGTTAGAAGAACTCCATTGGTTTGTAACAATGGAGATAGCTTTCACAAGCGCACGGGTTTGAAATTGCCAGACACGTCTCATTCCAAGGTTAACATGACCATGAACATCGAAGAATGTAGGCAGTTATGTTTGAGTGATTGCTCTTGCACTGCATATTCAAATTCAGATATCAGAGAGGGGGGAAGCGGATGCCTGCTCTGGTTTGGTGATCTGTTGGACATGAGAGATGATATGGGCCAGGATGGGCAAGACCTTTATA